ACAAACTTGCGTATTTTCATGTGCTTTCTTGGCTAACGAGAGAGAGGAAAATTATATTTGGGTGTTGTGAGCTTTGGAGAGAAGGTTGGGCGGTGTAGATCCCAAGACTGTTGTTACAGATGGGACTAGAGCAATGAGTAATGCTATTCAGAAAGTATTTCCCGATGCAACACATCGTCTATGTTCCTGGCATATAGACAAGACTATAACCAGAAATGTGAAGAATCATCCTACTTTTTTGCCCCGATGGAAGCATTTTGTGTCAGCTGATTGGGAACCTTCAGAATTCGAAGAAACGTGGAAATCAGTGGTTGAGGAATGCTCCCTTCAGCACAACAATTGGGTCTCCAATTTATTTGAACAAAGACATGAATGGGGGTTTGCATATTTGCGTTCGAAGTTCTTCGCAGGCTTTATTACAACATCAAGATGTGAAGGACTGAACTCTCAACTTGCCAATTATATTGAGAAGGATAACAATCTCCTTGAGTTCTTTATTCACTTTAATCGTTGGACTAGGGATTTGAGGGAGAATGAGCGTCATGCTGATTTTGAATCCATTCATCGAGAACGAACCATCACAAGCAATGTCTTAGTCTCACTTCAGAAGAGTGGAGCGGCGGTTTTCACAAAGAACGCATTCTTCTTATTCAGAAACGAGGTTGAAAATTCGGTATGTTGCATAAGGGTGGAGTCAGAGCGATCGGAAATTGAGAGTGTGTACAACAAGGTGTCTGGCATGGATAAGGTTTTTCAAGTCACGTACACAGTTGAACCCTTTACAATGGAGTGTAGTTGTAATCACTACGATTATATGGGAATACCATGCCGTCATATGATTTTTGGACCGAAAGAAGAGAGCATACTGGAACTTCCTGAAGGCCTAGTACGTCGAAGATGGTCAAAGAAGCCGAAGACACTAGAGAGCTTGGAGGAATCGGACATAATAGATGAATCGCAACTTTTCGCATTGAGGTTTGCCATGACTATCACTTTTAATTTTTTTTTTAATATTGGTTCGAAGCTAGGTGAACATTAATTTTACTCACTTTGTATAAAATATTGTGTCAATTAGGTATGGTACTATTCAACAAAAAAGCTTACAACTAATGTTAAAAGGGGCAAAATCTAGTGAGTGCTTCAAGATTGCTCGTGAGTGAATTCAATCATTATGTGAGAAGCTGGACATGGTGGACACTGGAAACGTGGACATACCCGGCATTAATAGACCGAAGGAGAATGATATTTTTTTGGATCCATTACAGGTCAAAGCTAAAGGTTCGGGGGCTAAAAAATCTAAATGGAAGAAAGGAGAACCACGACAGTGTAGTAATTGCGGGGAATGGCGCCATTATAGAACCCGATGCCCACATCCTGTTGGCTATGTGAAGCCAACCTCAAACGGTGATGCCCCGAATGCTGGTGTTTCGGAAGAAAGTGGCGATGACACCGATGTTGATCCTCCCACCACTCAAAATCAGTCGGAAACAGTACCGAAGAGAAGGCAAAAGCATTGCAGTAAGTGCGGTTTTACCCATCATAATGCAAGAACGTGTACTGGGTCTGGGCCATCCGATGATAAAAATGACGATGATGCAAATGACGATGACGACGATTATGAGCAACCTAGGGTAAGAATAAAATATAATCGTCCGTGTCTACAAAATGCAGTTGCATCCAATATTTTTGTACGACTAAAATCGTCGTTATTGATTTTGCAGAAGAGGCCTGTTACTAGAAGTAGCAACCTAAGGACCAGAGTTTTGGACACTTGAGTTCTTCGGAATGCGTGTGTAAAAGGGCTGCAACTATTTGATCAGTGTTGAAAATTTGAAGTGAAGATGAAAGTCCTTATCCTATTCGGATTAGGATTATGTGAAGACTGCCACTGTCAGCTTGAAGCGGCGTCGTTTGGTTTATAAGAAGACTGTTGCCTTTTGCGGTGTCGTTTTATTTATGTGTCTCTTTAGTTTATAAGAAGACTGCTTGTTTATGCGGTGTCGTTTTATTTATGTGTCTCGTTGGTTTATAAGAAGACTACTTACTGCTTTCTATGGTGTCGTTTTATTTAGTTCGGATGGATTTGATTTAATTCGATAAGGAGGCTGCTCCCTAAATAAATCATGTGCAACATTTTAGTTGAATAATTTTTCTCACTCGTTTTTTTATTGAATTATTATTTCGTATTTTTACTTGTTTATAAATTTATTTAATATTGGCTACTAAAATTATGAAATGAAAATTTTCCTTTTTCCATTTCACTTTATTATTTTAGGCGTGAAATGACAAGCGCATGGGGCAACAGAGGAGCAGAGTTCGAAATCCGCAAAAAATACTGTTGGCCCAATAGTAAAAGACTTCTGAAAATGAAGTCAGTAATCAAGAAATAAACTACAGTATTTTTATTGAGTGAAAGATCCCTCGCCGATCTAATAAGATCTCAAACACTAAAAGTACAAATCTTGAAAAACAAAACAATGTACTTTCCCTCCTACCACTTTTATACTATACATATGGCAACTTTCCCCTATTTTATATATTTTCGGAGCATGATCAACATGTACGCATCAATATAGCACAAATGAACCACCATATGACGTAGTTTCCACAACAACTATTATGGAATCGTAACAACATATGATGATTCTTTCGGCAATATTCAGACGACGACTTATTGTCATTGCTCCCCTCCCTGCCTCTAACAAAGACCCTGTTTGAAGAGAAAAGAAGAAACAATAACAAAGACTGCCACTGTTAGCTTGAAGCGGCGTTGTTTGGTTTATAAGAAGACTGATGCCTTCTGCAGTGTCGTTCTATTTATGTGTCTCTTTGGTTTATAAGAAGACTGTTGGTTTATGCGGTGTCGTTTTATTTATGTGTCTCGTTGGTTTATAAGAAGACTACTGCCTTCTACGGTGTCGTTTTATTTAGTTCGGATGGATTTGATTTAATTCGATATGGAGGTTGCTCCCTAAATAAATCATGTGCAACATTTCAGTTGAATAATTTTCTCACTCGTTTTTTTATTGAATTATTATATCATATTTTTTACTTGTTTATAAATTTATTTAATCTTGGCTACTAAAATTATGAAATGAAAATTTTCCTTTTTCCATTTCACTTTATTATTTTAGGCGTGAAATGACAAGAGCATACGGCGACAGTCAGTAATCAAGAAATAAACTACAGTATTTTTATTGAGTGAAAGATCCCTCACCGATATATTATTAAGATCTCAAACACTAAAATACAAATCTTGAAAAACAAAACAATGTACTTTCCCTCCTCCCACTTTTATACTATACATATGGCAACTTTCCCCGCTTGTATATATTTTCGGAGCATGATCAACATGTACGCGTCAATATCGCACAAAAAAAACCATCATATGACGTAGGGTTCCACAACACCTGTTATGGAATCGTAACAACATATGATGATTTTTTCGGCAATATTCAGACGGCGACTTATTGTCATTGCTCCCCTCCCTGCCTCTAAGAAAGACCCTGTATGGAGAGAAAAGAAGAAACAATAAAACGAAGGAGTTTGTTTAACAATCATGATCTAACAATGACATAATGAAAGGAACTGAGATCTAAAATAATACGCAGTCTCATCATTACCACTACACCCGAAAATAAAGCATGGGATAGGAGCACGAAGAGGCGGATGGGGTTGATTTTCAGAGTTTCATATCGAGAAAATGGAAGAAAGGGGTCTTTTCAGGGATTGAGAGGAGGAGGAACGAACAACAGCAGGAGATGAAGTGCCTCTCGGGTTTCGAAGCACGGTCTCTCCTTCTCCGATTAAGGAATTTATAAATGGACTCCTAAAATTACTTTGCCTTTCCAGCCCTTCCCATTGACTGAAAATCACACTCCCTATCGCTGCCTCGGCCTTGGTAACGCCAGCACTGGTTATGGGCAAATGCGACTTTCCGAAAACGGCAAAATCTGATTGGGTGACACGCCGCGGCAAGGATTAAAGCTCTTTCACCATTGGATTAAAGGAAAAGTTTAGGAATTGACGGCAGGAGATGGGGATGTGCTTTTAGACTGGCTCTGTAGATTAACTAACTTTTTCGTTTAGCAAAATTATTGTACTGATTTGGTATATGTTAATGTAACCCTAAACCCTAAGGGCGATAAGGGCCCACTTTAGAAATTGCTTATTGATTGTCACCATCTCCATCCCCAACTTTTAGCAATTGGTAAAGATGAGTTGGAGCTTAGATGGCAAAAACTTAGCAATGGTTTAGGGATGGAGGAGTTCTTTCTAAACTAGCAAGATTGCTAAATTAGGAATTCTTCTAGCAATGCCACATAGATAACTATTTTCTTTTTCTATTTTATTGTTTATTAACTTTTCTTGCCCAACTAAAGTACATAGGTAATTCAAAATTGAAATTCTAACTTTCTGTTCAAAACATAAATTAAAAATTGATAGTCGCTAAGTATCGAACCACAAAGCTCTACTTTATTAATCAGCAACTAAAGGACAATTAACCAATTAAGCTACATGACATTTATAATCATCATGTGAAATTTCGCTTTCTTATTAAGTGAAGGGTTAAAATGAACGGTAAATATATCATAGTGGATTGTTTCTGCTTCTTGGGGAGTGAGAGGGTGGAAAGGGGGGAATTAATGAAGAGTTAAATTGGACAGATTGTCTTTACCACGCCACTATAAAATCCTTCGGAGCAAAAACATGCAGGTTCAAATCAAACAATAAATGAGGAAAGATGAACTTAATAACTCTAACTAATTTTCATTCCATATGTGGCGAATCGCTAATGGTCGGGATAACCAACAAGGATAACCAACAAGGCAAAATAGATAATAGGAACCTACCTTGCACACACCAAATCATTTTATCTCGTACCGATAAATGTGTCACGCTACAATAATTATGTCTAAGTTTTTTTAGTAATAAGGCATGATCAGCATTTATAAGCAGATATAAAAAATATAAAATCGAGAAAAAATAAAACAACACCTACCCTCACCCTAAACCAATCAATACCATATGCTCTAAACCATCAACACCTTATAACCTACCCAGATACCATATACTCTATACCATCAACAACCTAATACCCTAAGCAGTCGGTACCCATTTCCTTTAACATCAACACCTTATACAACAATCGTATACCTATACGCTGATAAAATTTTACATTTTGAAAATACTTGCCCAACTAAAGTACATAGGTACTTCAAAAGTGAAATTCTAACTTTCGTTTCAAAACATAAATTAAAAAAATATCTTCACTCAGTATCCAATCAAAAGCCTCTAATTAGGCTACAAGAGGTTTGTTATGTACGAGTGCATTGCATAAAGAGGGGCAATCAGTGAGAGAGTGGAATAGGGCAATTAATGAAGAGTTAAATTGGGTGCGCTATCATTTACCAAATCCCAAAAAAAGATGGAACACATAATTATGTTTGAATTGTGTGAACTCAAGGCATGATCAGGATTTTAGAAGCAGAAGCAGATGAAAATAAAATATAAAATCAAGTAAAACAAAGAACCGCCACTGAGATAGACAATTATCAAAGGCCCAGCCTAATGACAATCCGGAACTCAGTATCTATTATCAACAAACTAGGTGCCATGGGTCATGTACAAGCCCACTTTTGAATGTTATTTAAAAGCCTACAAAAATCAATAATCAGACCCAGTCCAACTAGAATTAGTCCTAAACGCACCGTTAATACATAAACACAAATTAAGGAGACCTCTCCATCCGATTCGAATCAAATTCTGTCTTCTTCATCTTCTTCCTCAATCCTCTGGGGCGAGACGGACACTACATATCAGGAAACCTTAATTTCACCGAGAGATAGAAGTTATTTTGCAAATGATAGTAACGGTAAGACAAGATGACAAAGCACTAGCGACATGAACCCTAGGGTTAGCAAACCTCTTTCAAGGGTTCTTTTGCAAATGAAAAGTTTGATGAACACAATAATATACATGGTCGACGTAATCGTGTTAGAAAGAGATAGGTGAGTAAATTCTGCCTGGAAATAAAATGGTGAGGAACAAAATGTCGATTTGTGGATACAAAGATTTGGGGTTCAAAATGATGATTATGTGAGGATTTCATATAGGATGGGGATCTTCTCTTCGAATGTGGATACATAGATTTGGGGTATGAAACATGATGATGTTAGGGATTTGAGACTGGATAGGGAGCTAAATCGAATGTGGATCAAATAATAAAAGGATTTGGGTTTCGAAACGATGATTTTGTTGGAGATTTCAGATTTGATAAGCAGCTTATGATCGAACTTCGAACTAAGAGGGGACCCTCCAAGACGAATGAGGGATCGTAGAAGGGAGACTGGAAATTGGTTAGGGCGGCGAGTCGTATCCACAGGGTTTAACCTCTTAATCGATATAATTAAACCGGGTACAGTTAGGTTGAAGTCCAATGAAAAAAGCTTTAATTCTTCGTGATGCTTTTGGTAATTTTCCTTGCCCCCGGTCTTCCGTACCCAGAATTTTGCCCTGGGCACTCTAGAACTGCCCACATATATATATCATGCCTCCCTCCAACGCTGCGTTCCACTTTTCCCCTTCAGAAAAGACAAGCAACTTGGTCCTTCCAATTCAATAATGCTCCCTCAAATTGTGTCCCATAAAAATTCCGGCCCAAGACTTTTCTTTTGAATTGTTGCGCTTTAGGTGCAGTTCATGCTCGCCATCTGCTACTTCCGAAATCTACCTGGGTTGTCATTTTTCTCATCTTCGCCTAAAAACACACCAAAACTCTAATACAAGATGATAATGACTTTTCAACCATTTCAAGGTTAGTCAATCCTAAAACCAACATTATATGTCTCAAACATATCACCAAATAATCACATTAAGCACATAATATCAATATGTTCTTGACAATTATGACAACCCCACACTCAATACTTGCTTGTCCCTAAGCAACAACTCAAAAGACACAAACACATAAGTATAACCATCCATAACAATGACACACCACAGACTCACCACTCAAACACTCAAAACAAAACAAAATTTTCCTTGTACTCTTGTTGTAATCAGTAGTTTCTTTCTTAAAGGACGAGTTGTGCTTTATCATACCTTTCACCCCACACTCAAGGTCTTGCAACCCTTTAACATTGACGGACTCAATTCCACCAAATACTCAATTATCAAGCACTCAATTTCGATCGTCGGTAGTGAGTGATTAACAACTTATGGTGTAACAGTTATTCGGAGAATCTAACCACGTCAGTGAGGTGCATATCTCGTTAGGACAGTCTGGCTTACTCACAACAATCATAAGCAATTAACTAAGCATGAGTCTAAAAAACAAATGGGGGAAGCTTTTAGCAAACTTGGTTTTTACTTTAAGCACATCACTACCTTTCTGACAAGGAGAGGCTTTCTCTCTTTCTGATTTTGCTTGCCGAGTGGTCGTATTTAGTACAAGTGAGATTTGTATCTTACTACCTGCTTGACCTATTTCTCTACGTCGGAGGAAGATCTCTCATCTGATGACCCTGAACAAGAAGGAGTTGCTCTCGATGTGCGACAGCAACAAAAGAAATAAGATTAAAAAAAAACACACACACACAGAACAGACCGGACGCAAAGAAAAGGGCCATGATGATGATCCTATGTTCGCTTTCGCCCTGCCCCGATGATGCGCTCCTAGCTCGCGGAGTTACATACCAGAAAAAGAATCTCTATTACTTTGAGAAGAGAATCGTTGGTTTGATCGACGAACTACGTGGGAAATACGAGATCCTTAGCATTGACCGATAGTTTGCCTCTCTTTTTGGAATCAATTGGTTGATTGAGTTTTGTTAGCTAACAAAACCACCCATTAATGATGTTGTTTCCAGCCAAATTAATACGTTAGAGCTCATATACTGTTGGGGGTATTATGAGCGAGGCCCAATGGGCGGCGGTTTGGGCTTCCAAGTAACAGAATTGGGGGGCAAGGCCCAAGCAAGGTGGGGGACACATGAAGACAAGGCACTAGAAGCCAAAGGAGGTCAGGCTGTCAAGAGAGGCCAGGCTGTCAAGTGGTCCATCGTCTGCGGGCGCCTGTCACGTGCCAGAAGCCTGACAAGGCAGTTGGGATATCTGACCAGAATAGTACAAGGCATTAAATGGAGATAGTGACGTGGAGGAGATCAACCTCGAACTCTGGTGAGTATAAATAGGGGCAGTTGGTAGCATTTACACAGGTGGGGTTTTCTCTCACTAAACTCTAGCTTTGAGACACTTCTCTTTCTAGAAACTAACTTGGGCGTCGGAGGATTAACGGGCCCAGGCGCCCCCTCTGTGTTCGTGTGTGTAGACAGGCGCCCTGCCGTAGTGGGTTCGCCGTACTGGGGTATCGCGTCTCAAACAATTGGCGCGCCAGATAGGGGAATTATAACCAGGAGTCATGAGTGAAGAGGCTCCGATGAATGAAGAAAGAGAGGAAATTACAGAGGAACAATCGGAGGGGATGAGAGGGCAGACGCCCGAGATAGATGATGGCGAGGAAAGTGATGGGATGTTTCGGGGGTCTGAAGGCGCCTCGATCACTAAAAAGGAACTGTTTAGGATCATCGAGGATCAGGATGAAGCGATCGAGGCGCTTCGGCGAGAAGTGGACGTCTTGAAAAGGAGTGAAAGGATGACGCCCAGCCCGACGAAGAAGAGGGAAAGAACGGCAGAAACGGAAAGTGAATCCGGGTGTCTGAGGCGTCCAAGCTTGTGGCGCCCACGTGATCATGGAGGGCCGGATACTAACGGGTGGAACGGAGGAATTCTGGGGCGCCTATCACGCCGATGCCCCGTGAGGCAGCCCCTGGCACGTAGCATACTGGAGGAGCCCGCAGGGACCAACATTCCCCCACTTCCCACCTATGACGGGACCGGGGATCCCGAGGACCACCTTAACGGGTACTTCACCAAAATGCAACTCTACAACAGCACAGACGCCACCTTGTGCAAAGTGTTTCCGTCCACCTTCTCGGGCGTGGTCCTCGACTGGTATCACCAGATCGAAGAGGGGCGCATTGATTGCTTTGAACAGTTTGCAGCGATGTTTTTGGCAAAATTTGCCAGCAGGAAGTGGCGCTCCTTGACCATAGGCGCCCTGTTCAAAGTCAGGCAGAAGGAAGGAGAGGTTTTGAGAGAATTTTACGAGAGGTGGCTATCCGTGGCCCTAGCAGTGAAGGATGCTCAGCCGTCAGTGTTGGGAGTGTGTCTGAATGAGTGCACCACCAGCGAGGAGCTGTGTAGGTCGCTCACGAAGAGAGACGTGGTATCCACGGAAGATTTGGATCACAGAGTGCAAAAAGTGATCATGCTCGAAGAAACACTGGCTGCTAGAGGGGCGGACAGGCGAAAGACAAGAGGAGAAGAAGTCGAGATGACACGAAGGCCGTACCCCCCGAGCGGATCAGGGTATACGCCCGCAAGCCATCCCCCGCCAAGGAGAGTTGATGTGGGGCGCCCGGCGCCAAAGGGGGCTGGACACTTCGCTGAATACAGCGACACTCTGAAGAACGTACTCCAGCACGTCAAGGAGAAGGGGTATCAAATCAGGTGGCCAGGCCCCATGAGGGGAAAACCCAACGAACGGAACTTGGATCGGTACTGTGACTTCCACCGTGAAGTGGGGCACCATACGGCCGATTGTTATCAGCTGAAGACAGAGCTACGGGGCCTGGCCGACAGAGGGATGCTTAACGACTTCATCAAGAAGCCTGAAGAAAGAGTGCACCGGGCGTGCGTGGCTGGCGTGGTAAAAGCGAGGGAGGAGCTGCCACCCCCGCCCTACGACCTTGATCAAGAGAAGGCACCCGATCGCGTGCGTCTGACCATCGAAGCCATTTCGGGAACGATGGACTTGAGGGAGAAGATAGAGGCAAACCGCCGGTAGAGAGCGGCATCGGCAGACGTGCAGGAGTCGATCGATATCAGCTTCAACAAGGTGCCAGAAGAAGCATGCATGCTCCCGTCCATGGACGCCTTAGAGATACAAGGAGTAGTAGCCGGATGCAAGGTGAGAAGGAAGCTTGTCAACACGGGAAGCTCCATGGATGTGTTGTTCAAAGATACGGTGGTTCGCATGCAACTATCACCGGAGATGATCAGACCATCGGAGTCTGTGCTAGTCGGGTTTTCAGGGGCGCCCGCCAGAGTAATAGGGCGAGTGTGCATGCCGGTCACCTTGGGAGATGGGGAGCAAAGAGTGACGCGCGCCATAGATTTCGGAATAGTGTGACTGCCCATCGCCATACAATGCGATCCTTGGAAAGCTCCTCCTAGCCTTATTCAATGGGGTGGCCTCCACTTGTCACCAAACCTTGAAGTTTATTGCCCCGCAAGGGGTAGGCGTGGCCCGAGGATGAGGTGCCCCGCGTTATGCAAAGGAAACTGGACGTAAGCGAAGGCACGTCGATACAAGAGTCAACGTGATGGAAGTCGTGGTAGACGAGGCCCCTCAAGCCGAGGCTACCGACGAAGAACTCTTGGTAGCACTAGATGAAGGGCGTCCAGAAAGACACGTGAGGATCTCGGCAGAGGCGCCCGCTGAAATGAGGGAGCGACTCATCGCCCTCCTGAGAGAGTTTGCGGAGCTTTTCGCGTGGAGTGCAGTGGAAATGTCGGGCGTCACACTCGAAACGGCCGTTCACAGATTAGCGGTCGAAGAAGGCAGGCGCCCCGTGCAGCAAAAGCGCAGGAACCTATCGCCGGAGAAGGAGGCGACGCTTAGGATTGAAGTGGACAAGCTCATGGGCGCTAACTTGGTCGAGGAAACTTCTTATGTTACTTGGTTGTCGAATGTGGTCTTTGTGCCAAAGCCGTCGGGAGACTGGAGAATGTGCGTGGATTACAAGAGCCTCAACAGGGCATGTCCAACGGACGCCTACTCGATGCCCTGGATAGACTTACTGGTGGACTCCACAGCATACCACGAGATGCTGAGCTTCGTGGACATGTTTTCCGGGTACAACCAAATCCCCATGGCGGAGGAAGACCGGCCTAAAACAGCTTTCATATCACCCTTTGGAAATTTCTGCTACCGGGTCATGGCATTCGGGCTCAAAAACGCGGGCGCCACTTACCAGAGAATGGTCAACAGCGTCTTCCGTCAGCAAATCGGTCGAAATGTGAAAGCCTACGTGGAAGACCTCATAGTCAAGAGCCGAAGACGGGAGGACCACCTGGAAGACCTGCGGGAGACATTCCAGACCATGAGGGCGCATAGGCTTTGTCTCAACCCCCTCAAGTGTGTGTTCGGCGCCGAAGCGGGGAAATTCCTGGGATTCATGATCACCAAAAGAGGCATCGAAGCCAACCCAAAGCAAGTAGATGCCATTCTCAAGTTGAACCCCCCCCCCCCCCCCCCCCCAAAATACGCCCAAAGAGGTACAAGGCCTGGCGGGCAGGTTAGCTGCTCTGGGGCGCTTCATTCCCCGATCCGTCGACAAAAACCGCTCCCTTCTTTCGAACTCTGAAGAAGCCGGCGCGTTTTCGGTGGACCACCGAGTGTGATGGGGCGTTCGAAGAATTGAAGCAGCTCCTAAGCGCCCCAACTGTGATGACGGCGCCCAAAACGGGGAAGGCGCTGTACCTTTACATTGCTGTGTGGGAAGTCTCAGTAAGTGCAGTGCTTGTCGCAAGAGAAACTCATTCTGGAGAAGACAGACCAATATACTATGTCAGTCGCACCATGGTCTCCCACGAAAGGCGGTACGTGCCCATCGAGAAGGCCGCGTTAGCGGTTGTGATGGCCGCGACCAAGTTGAGGCCCTACTTCCAGGCCCACACCATCGTGGTGCTCACCAACCTCCCGTTAAAATCCACATTGGGGTCAATGGACGTGGCAGGGCGCCTTGTCAAATGGGCAGTCCAGCTAAGTGAGTTCGACGTCAGGTATGTGCCGCGTCCGGCCATCAAGGCCCAGGTCCTGGCCGACTTTGTCGCAGAGGGTGTAGCGGAGTCAGAGAAGGGGACGGACGATTGCTGGCAAGTTCAAGTTGATGGGGCGGCCAGCCGCACGGGCGCTGGAGAAGGTATCGTAATGATAAGCCCCGGAGGCGCAATGCATGAGGTCGCGCTGCGATTCGCCACCTTAAAAACAAACAACGCCGCGGAATATGAAGCGGTTATTGCCTGCATGACCATGTTTAAGGAGCTGGGCACCCACAAGGTCCAAGTTAAGTCCGACTCGGCCCTCGTCGTCAACCAACTTAACGGAACATTCGAAGTGAAAGAGAAGGCGCTGGAAGGGTACGTGCAAAGAGTCAGAGAACTGGGAGCCTGGTTTGGGGAAATCTCTTTTGTGCACATTCCACGTGAGGAGAATGCTCACGCAGACGCTTTATCCAAGTTGGCAACCGCTGTGGATTTTGCGGAAGAACGAAAAGTCATAGTCACGGCAGAGGCGCCTCGTGAACATTTGGTCGCGACCCTGGGGAACGTGGGCGCCAACTCCGGATGGATGGCACCAATCGTACTGTTCTTGACCCAAGGTGTGGTGCCCGATGACCCGAAGGAAGCCTGGCGCCTCCGCCGAAAAGCGGCCCGGTGTTCCATAATTGAGGGAAAGTTGTACAAGAGGTCTCATGCGGGAGCATACTTGAGGTGTCTGGATGAGGAGGAAAGCAGGGGGCAATCGAGGAGGTGCACAGCAGAACATGCGGCATGCACGCGGGAGCACGCAGTTTGGAAAAGACACTGCTGCGACAAGGTTATTACTGGCCAATAATGAGACGGGACGCAAAGGCACATGTGGGCGCCTGCCACCAGTGCCAAATTCATGCAAATGATATCCATGTCCCGGCAGCGCTCATGCAAGGCAATGTAGGAGCCTGGCCGTTTGCCCAATGGGGCATGGACCTTTTAGGCCCTTTCCCCAATGCGCCTGGGCAAATGAAATACATGATAGTGGCAGTCGACTACTTTTCCAAATGGATTGAGGCGGAACCTTTGGCCACGGTCACAGAAGCCCAGGTGCGAAGGTTCACCAAGAAAAATATATTCACTCGGTTCGGCTTACCTGAGTCCATCGTCACAGACCATGGAAAGCAGTTCGATTGCAAGAAATTTGTGGAGTTCTGCGACGACAATGGGGTCGTGTTGAGGTTTTCTTCAGTGGCGTACCCACAGGAAAACGGTCAAGCGGAGGTGGCCAACAAAAGCATTCTTCACGGGTTACACACCCGATTGGCGGGCGCCAAGGGCAAGCGGGTGGAGGAATTGCCAAATGTGTTGTGGGCGCATCGCACAACCTATAAGACAGCCACTGGGGAAACACGCTTCGCCCTGACTTACGGAAGTGAGGCAGTCATTCCAGTGGAAATCAATACCCCAAGCTACCGCGTTGTCCAGTACGACCCAAACAGCAACGACGAGGCAAGGACCAACGAGCTGGACATGGCAGACGAGGTGAGGGAAGTAGCGGCTATCCGGTTGGAAAAAATGAAGCGTCAAGTGGCCCGATATTACAACAAAAAAATGCGTGCTTATGGAATCATCGAAGGCGCCCTGGTCCTCAAACGTGATTTCCGCCCGGACGCCCACGAGGGGAAGTTAGCACCAAAATGGAAAGACCCATACCGAGTCCGAGAGGTGGTAGGACCCAGTACGTTCAAGCTAGAGCATACTAACGGCAAAAGTGTGAAAAGAGCATGCAATGCGCAAAATCTGCGAGTTTACCGGGAGGACGCCGTTCGAGCGGGAAGCGCCTCCGCCTGATGGGAACCAGAAAGGCAAAAGGCGGTCGTAGTTGTAAGTGTTGTTTATGTTGAAAACAAGTATGTTAAGCGCAGTGTGTTGTGCCCAAAGCGCTTGTAGAAATAGCGCCGTGTCGTGTCCAAAGCGCCCAGTGTTCCAGCGCCCCAATAGTGACTTCACGTTTGTACCCGCCTTTTCGCATTCAGTAAAAGCGCCCAAACTTTGCGCCCAGTAAATTGGTGTAGAAAAAGCGCCCAACTTTGCGCGCGATTGCGTGTTTAATATGGTTGAGTGATGTTAGTAAAGCGCCCGTCAATCACGAAGCGCCCGAATATTGCGCCCGTCAATCACAAAGCGCCCAACTATTGCGCCCTAAGTCGGAACAGTTTTGCGCCCAAATTTGCGCCCTCGAAACGTGGTAATCAACAATAAACGCGGAACCTGTGCCCAATCTCGCGCCCAATGACTACAAAGCGCCCACAATTTTTGCGCCCAAGTCAACCGATAAAAAGTTAAATAAAACCGTGAAATACGATCGCCACACCAACGGGAAAATTATATAATATAGATTGTGCCCACAAAAGAGAAACGTTTACATCATTTTTTAAAAAAAAAAAAAGGGATCCTCTTTGGTTGACGCCCATCTTTTTACTCAGCTCCTGAGTTGGCATCCCCCGCACTAGGCGCCTTTAGGACAGGTGAAGCAGGGGCAGAATCATTAGAAGGCTCCTCTACAATAGGAGGCTCGGGCGCCTTCTCTGTTGGAGTATCTATCTCCCCGATTACATACTCGGCCATCTCGATGAAATCCCAAGTAAGATCGGGGTGATCTTTCTCCAACTTAACCTTCAAAATTTGGAGGGCGGCCAAACGGGCGTTGGCACTCATGCTCTTCCCAGCCTCGGACTCTTCGAAGGTGTCCAGAGAATGGCGCAAGTTGATAATTTCTTTTCGCGCCTCCTTCAAACTCTTCTTGCAGTCCTTGTAGGCGTCCTGCCACCTCTTCTTCTCCTCTTTGAAGATATCTATCTCACTTGCCTGAGCGCCTGCCTCCTGCGCCAACGCCTCCTTCTTTGCCTGAAGGGTGACCGATTTATTGCGCTCTTCATCAAGAGCACCCTGAAGCTGCGACACTTCCATGGCCGCATTCATCTGCAACTCCTCGCACTCCTTCACCAGCTGTTCGCGACGCTCAGTCGCGTTTTCAAGATCATGCTTCAGTGAGGAGGCATAAGTAGAGGCTTCGAGCGCCTCTCGCTTGGTTTCAAAGAGGCGTCGGGCGCCTCTCTCAGCAAAAAGGAGGATCTGCATACACCAAGTAAAGAGAGTTAGCATTTGTGTAAAGACAATTTCAAAAAAGCGAGAACACAAGTAAAATGGTATATACCTTGGCACCCACTTTGGCCAGTTCCGCAAAGAGATGATCCCCATTCATCTCTGACGGCACTTGCCACATCTTGGCAGCCGTGATTGTCATCCCCATAGCACAGCCTCGGTCGACCGCCACCAGAGGGGAGCACGGCAATTCGATACGCCCAACATCCGAGCGACGCGGCTGGAAGATTGGGGGCGCCCATCGGGGCCCACATATTGCCCCTCTTAGTTAAGGCGGTACTGAAAGGCGCCTCCCTCTCCGCCCGAGGCGTCGGCGCCCACTTTTCCCTTGCCTCTGTCAGCTCTTTTGCCGACGTTGTCTAAGGGGGAACCAGCCCGTTTCCCCCGGCGAATCAAGGGCTCAGCCTCTTCCTCCCTGGAGTTACCCTCCTGCTCCGCGGGTTCAGCATTGGGCGCCTCAACATTGGGCGCCTCTTCCTCCGCCTCCGGGGCCGAAGACGCCACACTGGCGGTCTTCGTCGTGCCCCCCTTCACCGCCCTCTTCTTCCTCTTCGGGCCAGGAGGAGGCGCCTGTGGTTCGGTGGTAGCTGTAGCAGGCGCCTGCGGCCGACTCGGTGGGCCCCCCCCCCCACCAAGTCATGGCTGCAAGCCGACTCTTCATCAGCTTTGCAATGCTGCTGAAGTCTGACCCTGCACATCGCAAAAATAGTGTTAGCATTTAAAAAAAACCCCCCAAGTCACAACATGGTTATACACATAACGTATAGGAGCCTATAGATCATCATTATAATACGCCTCCAAATTGGGGGGTGATTCTCAGTTTTGCGCAAGTCCACGCGTGTCTCGCAAATCAGGCGGGCGCCGTCCTTCTCCGCTGGAGACAACACGACTGGCGCGTTAAAATCTTCAACGTGTCCCAACCCCCACTCCCTAAGAAAGGCGCCTCCACTTTCGAAGAAGGAGTCCCGGTACGCCTTCATGAAGAAGAACCCGTTAAACCAACTGCATCCCAACTTAGGGCACCGCTCCACAAAGTGATAGGGGCGTTTCTTCCTCTTCTGAAGTGATAAGCAGTTGTCGAGGGGCGCCATCTTAAAGAAATATCGGAATAATTTGAAGGTAGGCTCAACGCGATGTTCACGGCACCTCAGCTTGAATAGAATCACGATCACGATGACCGAGGGAGATAGACGCCCCAGCGGACAACCGCAGGTAGTCAAAATACCTTCCATGATATGGTCGAGAGGGAATCGCAACCCGAAGCGAAAATATTCCTGATACACCCCAATCCACTTCGGCCCACAGACGCCCACTCGTGAGATAGCAGAAGGCGGCACATACCACCAGTCACGAGGAAGTTGGAGGCTGGTCACCAATTCATGAACGCGAGCCAAGGTGACAGTGGACGTGTGTTGTGGTCCTGCCACTTCGAAGGGCAGCGTGGCCGTCTCCTCCGGGAGATGATTAGGAGGAAACGAATTCTCCCAGGTCGAAATCTTGTACAATCCATCGGCAGGCATAAAGCCAGGAGTCGAGGCGCTTGATGGACCCGCGGACGTAGAAGCAGCCGCCCTCTCTAAACCAACAAACGACCCAGGCGCAACGTGGACGCGGAGTAAGTGGCGCTCTACGCTAGGTAGCTAGAATAAAGATAATGAAATAACCAGTAAGTCGAGAAGATTCCTTACCACTCTGAGCCGGATGCCTTGCCTCACCACCCGCACCCGAGGCGCCTGCTGCCGAAGCGCCTGTTCTTGTCTCACCCGCACCTTGGGCGCCCTGGCCGACAGTTTTGTCTGCTTGCGACGACATTTGCGGCTGACTTGAGGAGAATGCTGACGGTTGCAAAGAGGGATCTAGAGAGATGTCAGGACGGAATCTAGAGAGAAGTCAGAGCGAAATCTTAGAGAGATGGGAGATTGTGGAAAGTGACAAGGACTGAAGGGGGAAGGGGTATTTAAAGGAAAGGGGAAACCGAGTCAAGGCTCGCGTTGTGCGCCATGTGTCACCGTCAAGGGCGGGCTTTTGAGCTCCCCCCACCTTTTCCTTTTTCGAATTTAAATTTCTCTTTTCGAATTTTCTAAATTCGAAATTTGAAATTTAAAAAGTTCTCAAAATTCAATCAAGCAAAACGTTGGGCCGATATCAAACACCCGTCCGTGAGGGGGGCATAAGGGATAGGGGCGCCCTTTCTGAAAGGCGCCCGTAAAGCACAGGGGGAGGGCGCACAAAACGGAAGGCGCCCATAAAAAGCAAAGAAGCCAAGCAAGCCAATTTCGAAGCGGACAACGCGACAAAAGATGGTCAATAAAGTCAGGCACCGTGAGGACGGACGTACTCGGGAAGTTGGGCGCCTACTGGGGAGAGGAAGGGCAAGGCCGCAACAGCTGGGTCAGCTAGGCGCTGAAAAGCGAAGCTATGAGCGCCTAACTGGGGAGCAATTGTTGGGGGTATTATGAGCGAGGCCCAATGGGCGGCGGTATGGGCTTCCAAGTAACAGAATTGGGGGGCAAGGCCCAAGCAAGGTAGGGGACACATGAAGAAAAGGCACTAGAAGCCAAAGGAGGTCAGGCTGTTAAGAGAGGTCAGGCTGTCAAGTGGTCCATCGTCTGCTGGCGCCTGTCACGTGCCAGAAGCCTAACAAGGCAGTTGGGATATCTGACCAGAAAAGTACAAGGCATTAAATGGAGACAATGACGTGGAGGAGATCAACCTCGAACTCTGGTGAGTATAAATAGGGGCAGTTGGTAGGATTTACACAGGTGGGGTTTTCTCTCACTAAACTCTAGCTTTGAGACACTTCTCTTTCTAGAAACTAACTTGGGCGTCGGAGAATTAACGGGCCCAGGCGCCCCCTATGTGTTCGTGTGTGTAGGCAAGCACCCCGTCGAAGTGGGTTCGCCGTATTGGGGTATCGCGTCTCAAACATATACCAATAAGTTATGCATACTGATCACCGAGAGTCCATTCTTGTCCTGGATTTCGAGAGCTTCAGAAGTGAGATTTGTGAGATCCGAATTACACATATTATCGGGAGGCCAATTTCTTAATTGTGTTTTGGGTTTATGGGTCATTCTTTATCCCTGAAAACTCGCTCTGTTAGTAATAGCAATCATTTTGGTCTATGTTGGCGTTTGTATGATTTTGTAGGTGATTTTGCCGTTCGTTCAATCAACTAATTTGACATAACGGCGGCGTGCATCCATCTTCCCAAAAGATGGTGTCAATTTAGAAGTATGATATGTCACATCCCTTCATCTTGGACGGTACCAAGTTTTTTGTTTTTTGTTTTTACGAATTGGATGGTACCAAGTTGATACTTCATACTCACCATGAAACATGCAAGACTAGAGTTATCCAAGAAATAAATTATTGTTACAGTTTTATTGGATGTCCTTAAAGATACAATAATATTATGCACAAAATCACTACCGTTCTGCGATACTTGTCTCCATGGTACACAGGGGCGTAGCCAGGAATTTTACTAAGGTGGGTCAAATAGTGACATAAGTCGTTGTGAACGGCGAATGGCAAGTGGTGGTGACAACCTATTTTAGAGGTTAGAAAATGCCATCACGGAATAAGCGTCGTTTGTCCAGAAGTCTTTATGGGTTTGGAGTTGTTGGTACGTCGAGCGCAACACGGTTATCTTTGTACTTGTGCATTTTGCTCTACCATCGGTTTACCTTGAAACCCTATAAGGCTACAGAAGATGAGAAATAGATAAGGAAATGTGATTTGATCAAAATGAATAAATCACCAAACTAGTTATGTTGTTTGACTTATGCGGCAGAAGCAAATTGACTCTTTGGCTAGCAACATGTTGACCAATTTAAGCCCAATTCTTAAATGCTAGTCCATAATTAAATGAAGCCCAATCCTCTTGAACTAAAAGGCCCGCCCACAAACTAAAGTAACTAAATTATAAGTCCAAGCAAATTACAAAACTATGTCGTATCACTAACAAAACGAAATTCCCTAGCAGATGGTCTCCTCGATCAAATAGTCTCCCCTGCAGGTTAGATTATGAAGAACACAAAGAACAGAGACAAATAACCCCAGTAATAAAATAACAAATAAAACTGTTTTTCCAGTGTATTGCAGGGCCAAGGTGGTGCAGCCGACCCACCTTAGTCTGCTGTGGCTCCGCCCCTGATGGTACACTTCATTCATTGTATTGCGTACAAAAGTTTGATCCAGTAGTAACACCATTGATCTTAAATCTAGAGTTCTCATATTCAAATCCCTTAACTAGAACTTAATTAAAAATCAAAGGTTCAATTCACCTGCATAGCCTTAACTTTCGCGTTTTTGACAATTATAGCCACTTTTTAAAAAATACACAGTTGTAACCATTCCGTCCAAAACTTTAACAGTACATTCACAAATGCTGACTAGACAAACGTTTATGGTGATGTGGAGACTTTTCGTCAAACCAACTGCTAGGTGGAATGTTGACTTTTTATTTTAATTATATGAGAAATAAACTAAAATTTAAATATAAAAAGGAAATGAAAAAAAATTCGTTATTCTTTGGCCCCTCTCATCTCCTTCTTCATCTTCTCCTAAAGTTGGGCTTCTCCGCAGCCTAGAACCCCACCGTCAAAACCTAGGGGAAAGTCGAAGAGACCAATATAGAAAAATCATCGTTGGTCGTCGTAGCGAGTGTGCAAGACTAGAGCTGACGGGAGGAACAAAAGTACAGAACCCTAGACCAACCCATCTCTCTCCCCTTCTCGCGGCCATCATCTGAGTTGCAACCGCCGCACAAATTGAAGCTCATTGAATTCATTCTATCGACGGCAAATCGAAGCTCACCTCCACTAGGAAGCTTCCATCGTCGGAAGAGGTTGAAGTCGGGTGAAATCGACGAGAAGGTGAGTTGTTGATGGTGTTGTCGCATCTGGATTCCCGATCTGGATTGTTGCTGGTGGTGTCGCATCTTCGATTTGTCCATAATCGACTCCGATTTATGAAGTTGTTCGAGGTGGAGGCCTACAAAGAGTGGGCGGCGATGGAGTTGGAGCACGAGCAGGAGCTCTGGTGACAACTTACTCCTATTTCGTGCCCTTCTCTCTTCCATCCCTCGGACCCCTGTCTTTTGTTCCTCCCAACCCATCACCACCACCACCACCACCACCGTGATTGATTCTAAAACCAATCACCACCATCGTCGTCTCCTCCGCTTCGATTCAATTGAGGGCCTAGCTAATAGAGATTTGAAAAGGAGGAGGGTTTGGGAAGGGATAACCAAATCTGAAGAAATCGAACGAATTCCGACGATTCAGTACTCTCTAGATGAATCGAGCGCCTTTACCCAACATACTCATTGGAAAACCTAGATTCGATTGATGGAGAAGTTTGGAGCTACGGGGAGGATGGGGTTTGGAAACGATTGTTGTTTATGAAAATTAAAATATATTTTTTTTAATTTTATAATATGATGTGGCAGCCAGGTGGCTTGATTTGGTGTGTTGAGCTGATGTCAGAGCTTAGGTGATAGCCACATCAGCGTCTTGCTAACGATGTTAAAGTTTTTGACGAAAATAGCTAATTTTGGCAAACAAGTTTCTCAGATGTGACTACATTTGTGTATTTTTTAAAAAGTAGTTATTATTGTCAAAACGTGCATAACTATTAGTTATGCAAGTGAATTAAACCAAGCGGTCGTTTGGATGAGGTAATGTAGGTCAATTGATTCAAAATGAGTCAATTGTAACCAATTGACCCATTTGGGAATAAAAAATGAAAATGAAACATTTTGCAGTGGGGAAATCAGAATTGTTCCGTTATGGGTTAATTCAAAATACCTGGGGTAGGGGGAGATATTCTCAATTGTTCCGTTTTTCTCTCATCTTTCCCAATTCTAACCTTTCCCTTTTCTCTCTTCCTCTGCAGACACAAAAAGTAACACACCCTTTCTCTTTCTTCCTCTTCTCTTCTTCTCTTTCCTTTCCGTTCAAGACTCCTTTGAGCAGCTCGTCTTTCTCCTTGTTCGGTATCGCTTGAAAAGCCAAATCCCAAAGCGATGATTGTCGCCGACTAGAGCGGCTCAACAAAATCAGCCTCCGTGTTCAATCCCCTGTCATTCATCGTCGATTGTGAATCAGACTCCGGCGAAATCCCTCATACCAAAGCTCCAATAGAGGTCGGAGACGGAGTGGAAGCTCGAAATTGAAATGGCAAGATAGATCGGAATGTCGCGTAGGTTCGATCCTCCCATATCCAAGCAAATTGGATCCCCATAGCGCCGCCATCATTGTTTTCAGGTGTCCTGGAAGAGGGGAATCCTCATCCGCTAGAAGTGATCCGCCGTCGCCTGTGACGGAAGACGCCGCCACCGATTATGGATCTCGAAGAAGGCAAACAGAAATCAAAGCAGAGTGGATTGCTCTGGCTCTTCGCTGGAAACGAAAAAGGAGATGGAGAGGAGGTGGAGGAGAAGATATCGCCCCGGGTTGCATTCAATTATCCATTGCTTGTGAGTAGCTTCATTCAGAGCTCCCCTTAAGGAAGGCCGGCTGGTTCTCAAGGTAGAATTTGACTTCATCCTTGTTTTGTTGGTTTCCTTTTGCCAGCAGTTTGCTGGTTTCAATTCATGATGAGGAAATTGAGATCACTCAACTTGTCACTGTCAGCTGGCTCTGTCTGTAGTTAGGGGAAGCTTTTTGTATCTGTTGCTTAAAAAAACAAGCAGAAGACAGATGGTCTTCTTTCAGTTAGCTACTTTCATGCTTTGTCTATAAAATTGCAGGCTCTTGAGTTGTTTCTCCTCTATGAATTTGGCTTTTACTGGCCACTGGTTTTCCTTTTGTCTCAATGTGTCGTGGGCTTCTGGTTACAGAGAGGAAGATGGACAAAGAGGGGGAAATAGGGGAAAAGATGAGGACAAAAGTGTATTTTCATAAAATTTATTGTTTCAATTGTCTTGTGAAAAATAACAATCCAAACAAGCCAATTCTGAACAAATTTCTCACAGAATTGCCTCATTTTCTATAATGAGTCATTTACGTCAAATTGTCTCATTTTACAAATGTTCCATCCAAACGACCCCTATCACCAGAATAAAACCTACATTAACCTCACAAATAAAAAAAGGTTACGCACAAATCATGGCAACCAATAATGCAACCAATTTTTTTCTCAAGCAATGCTTAATATTATTCACCAATCATGCAACATAATCTGCAACCTTTTTTTTTTTTTTTGGGCTAAGCTTTTATTCTCTTTTTAATGTGAGCCCTAGATGATTAGATGAAGCAGGGTTAAACGTCGTTCAATCATTCTCAGCAGTAACAAGTATCTTTACCGTTACCGATTTCGTAGTTCACGCGCTGACATTTCTTATCCACAAGAAGGAAACTGTGGGCCTGTTTGTGGGTTCGGCATCGCCACAGAATCAGCAAGACTTGTCCGGGCCATATGATAATTTGCATGGCCCAAAATTTGGGCTGGAGCTGACTCAGCCTTGACGTAACGTCCACGTGTCCGTACCCAGTACAATTTATTGTTTTATTACCAATTTCATCATTTGCTGAGCTGCCTGCGTTTGGGCCATGACTCAGCCTATGGCCCACTTGTCTTTTATATCCATCAATAATAATAATTATCCGTTCTAATGGAAAGTACTAATACTGTCAGGCCCACATCACATAGTTTGTTTTAGTACCGTTCAGTCTGAGCTATTAAATAAATTAATAATAATTAGTGTGAAACTCTTATATTTGACATTTCTGCGGTTAAATTTTGGCAGACTCAGGAGACGACACGTGGACTACTTGGCACTTTATTTTGCTGTATTTCAACAAGCTCTATATAACCGACCGCCAGCCATTATCTGCCGTCGCCACAAATTTCTCCGCCGTTCCCACTCCCTCTCTCTGTTATTAATCCAATTATCCAATTCGCATAATTAATTTCACACTCTATCCAATCAATTTCCGTTCTTTTCTCCGATTTCCCTTCGCCATTAGATCCGATCCTAAATCCTAATCCTCTCCTCCTCCCTAGCTTCCAGGCTAATTCGTCTCCTTTAATACCTTCGCCGATCGCCGGATTGGGAGATCCCCAGTTGATTCTTTTCATCCGATTCCTTTTTTCTTTCTTCTGGGTTTCTGAAAGTTTCGTTTTTTTTTTTCTTCCTTCTTCCGCGGGTTTACGTTTTCAAAAGCTTCGGATTCGGGCTAAAATGGAGGTTTCGGTGATCGGCACTTCTCAGGCAACGTTCTGCAGCGGCGGGGAGTTGGCGCCTTGCAGCAGGGAGCTGAGATTTTGCGTCCCCAAGAGAAACGGCGACGCTCTCTACTTCCTTGATCGAAATTCCCGCCGGAGGTGCAGAAACTCCCGGCTGCAGCTCACCCTCACCGCCGCCGCCCAATCCGAACCCGTCCGGTCCGATAGCTTTCCCGTTCAGGAGCCCGCCACAATACCCGATTCCGTAAGCAACCCAATCAGAATTTCCTTTGTGATTCCTGAATGGGGGTGTTTTCGATCTTCATGGATCATGCTCTGAAAGTGTTTGATAATTTGCTGCAATGGGTTTTGATTCGTTTTGTTCTTGTGTTGTTTTGGTGTTATCCGCAGGTTAATAAAGTAAAGTTATTCGTTGGGTTGCCGTTGGATGTGGTCTCTGATTGCCACAGTGTAAACCATGCGAGAGCCATAACGGCAGGTCTCAAAGCTCTGAAATTGTTAGGGGTAGAAGGTGTGGAGGTTCCGGTATGGTGGGGGTTGGTGGAGAAGGAAGAAATGGGGGAGTATGAATGGTCAGGGTACCTTGCCGTTGCAGAAATGGTACAAACAGCAGGGTTGAAGCTTCACGTCTCGCTCTGTTTCCATGGCGATAGACAGCATAAGGTCTCGCTTCCTCGATGGGTTTTGAAGATTGGCGAATCGAATCACAGCATCTTTTATACTGATCGATCAGGGGAAGCTTATGAAGACTGCTTGTCGTTGGCTGTGGATGACCTTCCTGTTCTCGATGGCAGGACCCCTCTTCAAGTTTACAAGGGTTTCTGTGAGAGCTTCAGGTCCACATTTGCCCAGTTCTTGGGTTCCACTATAACGGTAAATGGTGGATTTTGTGTTTCCTTAGATGAATTTGATTTCACTTGGATTGATTGGACTCGTTTAGGGTTCTTTTGGGAACTAAGGTTGTTATAGTCCATGGATTTTGACAACTCATGTATTTTTTAGGTGTGATTTAGAAATGCGTCTCTTTTCAGAATCTAGTATTTTGGTATGGAAGGTGATATTATATGGTGTTCTGCGCTGAGAATCTTAGGAGAAGCCCAACGATTTCTAAAATACATGACCTCATCGAAGCTAGAAATACATCTAGGGTTGAAGGAAAAGGTTTGGGAACCAAAATTCAAACTATAAAGACATGTATTGCCAGAACTATGCATTCTCAAAATCACAAGGACTAGTCCCTGCACTTTTGCATACATATGGACTGATTACACGACAATAACCTATTATTTTCCTTCAACCTATAGAGGACGTTATCTGTCTCACAAATTCAATATAGTCGAATGGTTGAACGAGCTTTGTAATCTATTGTTCCGCATCTGCCATCTCTTTTATTCATGGTGATATTTTAATCTCTTCCAGGGAGTAACAATGGGGCTAGGACCAGATGGCGAGCTTCAATATCCATCTCACCACCAACCTTCCAACAACAACATCCCTGGAGTTGGAGAGTTCCAATGCTACGACGAAAACATGAAGGACCAGCTAAAGCAACACGCAGCTTCCCTCGGCAATCCCTTGTGGGGGCTGGCAGGCCCACACGATGCCCCGACTTACAACCAGACCCCGGACTCCAGCCCCTTCTTCAACGAACTCTCCGGATCATGGCAATCCCCTTATGGCGACTTCTTCCTCTCGTGGTACTCCAACCAGCTGCTCTCCCATGGTGACCGCCTCCTCTCCATGGCCTCCAATGTCTTCACAGACACCGGCGTAACAACTCATGGCAGAGTCCCTCTGATGCACTCCTGGTTCAAAACCCGGTCCCGTGCACTCGAGAACACTGCTGGGTTCTACAGCACGGACGGGAAAGATGCATACGAAGCATTTGCCGAGATGTTTGCTCAGACCTCGTGCGGGATGATCATTCCCGGGATGGACTTGTCGGACGATGAGCAGCCCGACCAGTCAATGTCTAGCCCCGAGATGTTGCTTAAGCAGATTCAAGCGGCGTGCAAGAAGCATGGAGTTGGGGTTTCTGGGATGAACTCCGGTCTTCGTTTGAATGGGTTTGACCGGATTAGCAAGAACGTAGTGGGGGATGAGAATAACGTGGTTGATTTGTTTACTTACCAGAGGATGGGAGCAGAGTTCTTCTCACCGGAGCATTTTCCGTCTTTCACCCAGTTTGCTCGGGGGCTGAATCAGCCTTTTGCTGGGCTGGATTCGGATGATCTTCCTACGGAAGAAACTCTTCCGGTGGAGGCTCCTGTCCCGTCGAATGCCGAGATGCAAACGGCCTAATGGTGAAGAGACTGACGTGCGCTAAAATATGTGTATATATATATATATATGTTTCTGTTAGGCTGTTAGTTTGGCCGCTGCACCCTTTTGATAATTATTTGTAACCAATTGTAACAAATGCGTGTGTTTGAGAGTCAGGAAATTGAGCATACTAAGGAGCTATTGAATGAACTTTGAAAGCAAATATAAAATAATTTAAGATCAACTTCCCAACGGTATCAATCAAGATATCCCAGGATCATAAGTATTGATCAACGCCTCAAAAGAACTGTGTTCCTCTCGTCGCAGTAATGTCGATGATTTGTACTTCTTCCCTCTACTCCAGTATTCAACTGCAAATACCACTCTCGAGTTCGAGCTAACCGAGATTTGTACTGCTCCTTTCATCTTACAAATACCACTTTCGAGTTCGAGCTAGATAATTTAGTAAGACTGCATGGAAGAGTTCTGCTTGTGACACCAAGTATCCAAGAGTTATTCTCCTCTGTATTGCAGTTTCCTCGGAGAAATTACAGAATGGAAAAGAGCAACAACTTACACGAATGTTAAAACAAAGTACCGAAACGTCGGAAACCTCTCATGTACACAGACAGACCAGCAAACTATACATAACAACGCCTATTTTATTACAGTTCCAATAAATCTAATTAACCATCACCAACTCTCGAGTTTCACCTCAGATGAGTTGAGGTCAAGATGCGGGCAAATCTCCGCAACCTAACGGAGGCAGCGCCATTTCCGCGCCCCGCTACAATGTTTGTTCCCACTGGCGAGAACTTGCTTGGTCGACTTGCACCAGGTGATCAAACCTTTCACCACTCAACTGCACAAGAAGAAATAGGGTTATATTAGCGACGGAACAGAACAGAATCTAATGGCGAGCCTGGAGACGATCTCTGTAGTGATGCATGACTTGAGTCCTTACCATGTGTACGAAAATAGGGATAAATTAAACTTCGAATCCCTCATTTAAAAGAACTTAAACAGATAAACGATAACACCGCGTGTGTAAGTTGAAATATACCTCAATCAGTCAGCCATGTAGGCGTCTTTTCATTCGCAAGCTATCTTGGTGTCGAAGCTACTGAGACAAATCGCAAAAGCTTGGAACGCGGATATGGGATACCGGTAATCCATGGTGAACAAATCTTTTCCCACTTTCCCAAACTGCAGAATGATCTGCTCGTGTTCGGGTCCAGCCACTCCATTTTCGGGGGCAGCAACGAGCTGGAAGTTTTTCACTGATGCGACTGTCACTCGCCCATGGAAGTTCAAGCACCAACATTGTAGATGTTCGTGCCACCTTGGTGACTTGTTCTTCAGTACTAAACCAGCTTTCCTCGGACCAGGCGTGGGCCCTGAATCTCCTGTGAGATTTGATTTGGACCGGAGAAATGAGAAAGATGTGGAAGCATCAAGCTTGCGAATACCAAATTCAGTCTGTGTTGGAGCTATGCCGCCTGGTTCGACGGAAGAAGCAGGTATCCCATCCATAACACAGTGCATTCTTCGCGGACCTCTGCATAAAATCATACAACGCAAAATTTCTATTAACCAAAAGAAGTTCAGCATGAAGTCAAAACCCTCAAATCATGACTAGTTTCAGCAATAAGCCAGGTATATTCCAGTAAATTTAATCAATAGGTAAACGGCCTTTCGACCTCCACAAATTTGGTTGATTATGCTTGACCGAAACCAAAAGTTCCTAAAATCAACAGCAGCTAATACCAAAACCAAAAACTGTAAAATTTGTTCTTGGTCTGGGTTAACCAAAAATCGTGAAATTTGATTTTGGTTTAACCAACAACCATTATCCCACCCCCCAATCAAATGCCAAACTAATTGCAAACGCTTACCTAGAACCCAACATGTTCAATTCATATGAGATGTGAGCCACTGGATAGTTGCCAGCAGGGACTCTCGGGGAAACTTGTTTCAGACTTATTGGCCTAGTGGAACGACTTCTCACCAGCTTGGCCCCAGCATGCGGTGGAAGGCCGTCCAAGACTGTGAATCTGGTCCCCAGAAAATTTGATCTGATAGGAAAGGGGAAAAAACAAAGACGAGAAGTCTATAAGACTCCCAACTAACAGAATCAACACAAGAACAATGAACTTCAATTAGGGATGAATATCACACCTGAGTTTGCCAACATATGTGCTGCTAGCCTTTGACATATCATCGGCATCAAGAGAGATGATGTAATCCGTGCAGGTGGCTCGCCTACTCTTGCGTGCAGCAAGTAGGAACTTCCCGTCATCGGCTAGTGCTGTAAAACCCAAAACAAATCACAACATATCCCTCCAAAAGGTTTCGCTCGGAAGAAAACTGCAGCAATTTGCAGAGCAATAAGAATTGATACATTTGGAAAGCCAGGCAACAATTTCTCACCACTAGTCAAACTGAGGTAAAGATAATACGTCTGAGTGGTCCGGCATCTCTTTATAAAGCACTGAAGGAGAATATCCCTTGGTCCAGGCTGCAATAACAAAAGCCAAAGAATGTGAAGAAGTGTATGAAGATCCCACTAACAATACATCGATTATGACATGAACACGAATGCAAGGCTGAAGCCCATTAAGGAGGAGGAGAAGCACGACCAAGGACTGGTGTCGTCATTTTAGCTTATCAATCTACTCATGCATACAGGTAATTATGCTTATTGTCCAATTGTCTTAAATCTTTATAGCTAAACACTGCAGACTTACACAGTAGTGTCTGTACCTTAGAACGACTCACAATTCGTCACTCCTCTCATTCTAAAATTGAGGATAAGATCATGATTATAAGTTTATAACATCAAAACCCAAATGGTGACATGAATACCTAGCAATCCATTAATTCATACTCGGCTTTGGGTCTACAAAAATCTTCTATAATCACAGAATCGTTTAGCACAAGTTGAGAATCCAACAAACGGTTCACTGTGAGCTCCAGTAGTGGAAACGGAACAAAGAAAAGAATAAAAGTTAGCCTGAAAGGGCGCCCACTAATTTCTATTATTGGTGAGATCCAGCAGTTTCCAGTGGAAGCTACAATGATTGTAAAAATTGTCGTGTTTTGGAAATCAAAGTCCCATCAGAACCAAGAACCCAGTAGATTTGGTAGAACAGCGGAAACGTTTAGATGACCCCAATCCATGAAAATTTATCCGCTACAAGCTAAAGTTCAACCAACAAACACGCCACATGGCTTCAAGCAAGCAGACAAATATCACATCACTATTGGCTATTGCCCACAGAAAATCCCTCCCCAACCCCGCGCCCCCGGCATCTTTCTGTAGAGATAAGCCTCCAGCGATTCAGTGCTTATCCGAACCGACGGCGGTTTTTCATGATATCGAATCAGACCCGGGGGAAAAGTTGGCCCAGGCTAGACCTAGAAAACCTCTCTTAAGGAAATGGAAAATTCAGTGTTCATCACATCAGTGAACTGAGAATCACAGATCGTAATTCAACTACTCTCAGTTCATATCCACACCCGATCCTGAACAAATTCGCTGAATTACGCATCCAAGCATCGAAAATTCCACCGAATCTGTGAATCCAAACCATAGCTCCGCCCCCGATGACTGAATCTAGAGCGAGACAGAGAGAGAAACAGAGGAGAATCCAGTGAATTGTTACCTGCTTGAGGGAGAGAGGGAAGGTGAGCTTGCCGGAGAGCTCGGGAACGCGGACGATCTCCTTGGTGATGTGCCTCCAGCTTCGGCAAACGCCGGCGCAGGCGACGACGCTCTTCCGCGGCGGCCAGCTGGTCTCCGACGCCTCGATCCGCAGCAGCACTTCTCTCAGCAGCTCCTGCGGCATGTTCGCCCAGCAGGACGAGTCCATCCCGTGGTTCGGCGCCGCCGGCGTGGCGTCCTGGACTACGCGGTGCGAGCGCGACCGGCTGATTATGCTCCTAATCGCAGACATTTCTACGGCGAGGCCAGGAGGAAAAGTAAATTCCTCTCCGTTTCTTGATCTAAAGCAAATGGCGATGCGTAATCAAGAATTATAAACACTGTTTAGCAGTGCCGATTAAAGTGTCAATTTAGGGATTTGTTTATGCGTAATTAAATTATTTTTCTTGGGGTTAATGGAATTGGAAGGAGAGAAAAAGGAAGGAGGTTGAGTGGGGAGTAGAATTGGGTTTGGAAATTGGAATGGGAGTAGGTTGGATTATATAAAGTAGGGAAATCTAGTGTTGACGCCGTTAACTGACGCCGTGTAGTGGCGTGGGTCCCAAGTCCAGCGCGAGTATCATCATTTTCTTAAGGGTAGTAGGGAAAATAAAATATTTTGTGAAATGTAACATTTGGGACCCTAAAATAAAACCTATACTCCTCCTGTTTTGGATTGTGTTCCCATTGTTGAAGGCAGGATTGAAATTTGAAAGCTGCTCTAACACATAACCTTTCTGTGTGATTACCGTTCAAATTATAATATTATATTCGTATAAATGCCAGTTATAGGTTGAAGTTATAAGGGGTTAACTCTTTCAAATTAGCCATCCTCAATTAAGATTTTTGTTGTCACTAATTCGAATTATGTTTGCCATGCATCTCTTGATATTGGATATGCAATTTCCATTTGTAATTTTTGATAACGGGCTTATAAATTTGGCACATATCTAAGAATCTTAATCAGAAATTTGTAAACATACGCTTGCAACATTTACGAACTATTGGTTACATATTTACAAAAATAATAATGATGTGTATTTAGGTTATGAATTGTGGCCCACTTTTTGGTACCATTACATTTCACCGTTACATGAAGTTGTCTAGTTGATTGGTACGGTGTTTTGGGTTCTGAGTTGTGCTCGGTCAAAGTTTGTTCTATTTCATAGTCTCGTGTTATTTGTTCTCATACAAAATGCTCATACAATCTCGACTTTGTTCATACAATTCAGTGGTAAATTCTTTTGTACTATTTAAAATACACATCGTATGTCTCTCTGTTGTTAATAGAACCTCCCATAGAAAAATTATATCATATATACTATGGGCGCACACAACTTCTGGAACTCCATGTAAATTAGAACTTTTTGATCGTGATGAAATCAGGTAGAAGCGAATGATAACTCTAGGTTTTTCGGAGAATCATGTTAGGAAATGTAAAAAAGGTTGGCCATTTCGTGAAGATTAGACATGCATTTTTCCGGGCGGACAAAAAACCTATATAATTTTTTGTAACAAAAACCTATATAATTAAAATGCAGCCAATTGGTAAGTTTCTAATTTTTGGTCGTATAGAACCTTAATATAATTAAACTATGAGACAAATAAGAGTGGTGAAGAACACTATAATAATTACGAACTAAAACATCAGTCAGTGAACTGGTCATATTAATATATGTGAAACAACCAAGCATTAGCTAGCTCGAAGCATATGGGTTTTATTTTATTTTAATAATATAAAAAACAATGGTATACCTATAATTTTTTTTTTGTTATTATTTTGGCTTCCAACCACCTTTATGTAAAGTGATGACTATGATATTTAAGAAAAACAAGACAAAAGTGTGACTAGGTCCAGCAATAAGAAGAAATGATGACAATTGACAAGGGAGGTAGGAGTTAGATTTGGAATGGATTAACTGAAGTGGTTATGTGTGTGTATAATACTAAAATTTCAAGAAACGGACACTTGTGTTACGTAAAAAAAGTGCTTAATTAGGTGTAGAAAGTTTTAACTTACTTGACTTTATTACCCACTTGTTTAAAATAAAAATTAAGTATTTTATTAGCGAACTAACCATTTGATCTCAATAACTCGAGTTATTGGGAAAGGATTTGTTAAGCATTTTAATCTCAATGCCAAATTTTGGATTTGTACAGTTTGCACAGGTTGAACCCTTGTGCTGCTGAAGCACGAGGCTTTAGTTTGCACAGGTTGGACATATCATCCCTTGTGATAAACAAATGACATTAAATGGGGGTCATCATCAGGATTCGAAACCATGACCTTTTAGTTCTAGGCTCTGATACCATATTGGCGAACTAATCACTTGGTCCCAATAACTCAAATTATTGGAAAAAGGATTTGTTAATCGTTTTACTCTCTTACATATTTAACTATATCAATTGATTGTGTGAGATATTTCTATCATATACATGTGCAAAATACAGATAATAGCAACAAAACCCCAGTTCTTTTATGTAAACTCTCCTTTAATTTCTATTGATTTTATGAGTTACTTTCATCTTTGTCTGGGATCTTCCATACCCACTTTTTTTTTTGTGACGATTCTATCTGAAATGGCTGGCAAGGGGAGTTTTTAGACTCTTTTTACATTTTGTTTGGTTTTCCTTCTTATCGCTTTTAATATTGAGGTGTGTCGAACAACACATAACATTTCACTTGTTAGTCAATTGAGCGTGGTTTGATGGATTTTGAGACAATGAATGACATTCGTTGATTCATCTTTGGTGGTGTCCCTAATGGCTCTCATTGCTTCTTCCTCTTGTCAATGCCTTTCTATCTCGTCGGCAAAAACAACTTTCGTCTTCTTGGTCTAGTTCTAGATGGCCAGTTAACATTCAGAGGGATGATTAGTTTCTTATTTACATAAATAACAATTCCCCACAGTAATGTGGATTGGAGCAATTGCTCGCCGTTGAACACGAGTAAAAACAACACACATTATGATCACAAAAATCCATCAATAATCTCTCGTCATTCTAAAACTGAGTGACAAACACACACACACATAGGTAAGTAAGATGATGGGTGCACGCCCATAAACGAACGGAGGGTATAATACCCTCTGCATCTTCTGACGTAATCGCAGGAGACGATAGAATTTGGGTTTTTCCAATAATAGCACCTTTAAAAAAAAAATTACAAAAATAGCACCTATGTAAAAGAAATTCCACTAATAGCACCTTATTTTTTGGAACGCACCCCTAAGATGCGTTTTAAATGTAAACCGCACCTTACAGATGCGATCTACACGTAAAACGCATCAGAGGGGTGCAATCCACAATATAAAACGCACCAGACTGATGCGATTTGGGGAGGACTCGTTGCGATCCACCAGATCGTCCGATTGACAGCCGATCCAACGGCTAAGCGCACGCCAGCGGAGCGATCCGCGCCTTGGATCCCAGATCGCACGCGGGTAATGCGATCCGCGCCGGTGGCAGTCAAAGCGCATTGGGAGAATGCGATCTGCGCCTGGGGAAGCGGAAAACGCATTGGGAGAATGCGATCCGCCCGGGGCAAAATTCCTAAATCGCCCCTGGAGCTTGCGATCTGAAAACTATATATAGCCCCCCTCCCCCTCTCATTTTTCTTTACACCTTCAACCCATTCTTCCTTCTCTCTCTAAGTTTTATCTCTCTAAACCCTCCCCCTCCCAAAAGCCTAGGAAATAGTGGTCTATTGGTTGCGGCAAAGTCCGATCTGCCATTAGAAAACATTTCTTAGGTTTTTTCCTCAAAACCCGCCGAGCCGAGCCGAAGCTCTGTCCGAATTGCGCCGAAAAAATGGCCGATTGGTGGCAAGGAGAAGGAGTTTTTGTTGATGAATTTCAAGCGGTATGTACTCATTATTCGGGTTTAATTTTTGTCTTGCTTTTTAATTAATCTATTTACTAACCTCGTTGTTATTTTCTCGTAGGCTGCGGAGGACGTCGATATTTACAACCAACGGTATTATCTCGAGCAAGGACCGTTGGATCCAATTGACTTGTACGACCAACCCAACCATCGGTCAAGGGATGTTTGGAACGCTCATCCGGTACATACAATTCTTTACCATTTGTCCTTCTTTTATTTTGTTTATGTATTTAGTGAAATATAAAATAAATTTATGTTGAATTTTTAATCGTGTTGGTTGTTTTCAATAATTTAATCTGATACATTGCGCCACTTACTTCGACTCTTTATAAAGAGATGCACGTCTAAGGAAATGGGGTTTTAAGCGATTATCATATCCTCCCATTTCCTGGGAAAATCGGGTATTAAGAGATCCTCGGATCCCCCCTTTTTCTGTCAACAAGACTGCGTTTCTAAGAAGATGTATACCTCTTCTAAGAGTCTAACGAGTGTTGCTTTGTATTCGATTAAATTATTTAAAACAACCAAAACGATTAAATAATTTACCAAACAGTCCTTACGATTTAAAATTTATGTGTACAAATGGAATTTTATTAATTTCAAACAATTGAATATGTATGTTTCTCTTTAAAATATTGATTCATTAACAATGTCATTTAATTTAGTTAATTTAGTATGTTTATTTTACGATAATTAGTATGTATCTCTTTACGATAATTTAATATGTATGTATCGTATCTCTTTAAATTATTATTCATTTATAATGCTATTATGTTAATTATATGAAATGTCTAAAGTATGATAATAAAATTCTGCTTGAAGTTAAATAATTTAATTTAAGTAATTTAGTTATAAGGATTAAACCCTTACTAATATATAATAATTAACGTGTAAATTTTCTCTAGGAGGCACAAACAATAATCCGCTACAGGGGTACGACCAATGTGCTCCCATTCCACCCAGCCATCTTGCCCTTTCTCAAAAGGGCACGATTGGACTCGATTAGGCATTTTAACGGCATCAAAGTTGATCGCCAACTCATCACCGCCCTAGTTGAGAGATGGAGAAAGGAGACCCATTGCTTCAACTTGAGAGAAGGAGAGGCCACCATCACACTAAAGGATGTCGCCATCCTAACCCATCTCCCCATCGACGGCAAACCCGTGTGCGTTAGTGATCATGCCCCCGACGATGTCGACGGTATGCCCGGTTGGGTTCATTTCATCTATAGTGTTTTGGGAGTAAAAGTACCGGTGAAGGGGCATGTTGATGCGACCGATCGCTTGCCACCAATGAGGAAACACCAAGTGTCAATTACTTGGTTGACGAGGTACTTTAGAGAGCATTACGAGAGTCATCCCCTAACCGAGGAAAGTCCGGAGGATGAGATCGAGAGATATGCTCGGGTCTATCTCATTGGCATGATCGGAGAAGTGTTCTTCTCCAAAAAAGCAAGCAATCTCCTTAGTTGTGGATGGCTTAGGATCATCCTCGGTAGTTGGGAGGAGATGGGGGAGTATAGTTGGGCATCCGCTTGCCTAGCGCATATCTACAACAACTTGTGCAATGCCTCTCTAAAAGCTGTGAGGGAGGTCGGCGGCGCAATGTTCATCGTCCAATTTTGGGCTTGGGAGCATATGCCATGGCTTGCACCGGTAGAACGTCCCGATCGGGATTGGCCAATCGATCATCCCCTAAGAGGGGAAGCTTATGGAACAAGGTAAACTTCTCATACCCATCATGTTTTTTCTTGGTTGATTTTCCCTTGTCTTTTATCTTATTGTAATTTCGATTATTGTTTGATTAATAAGGTGGATCGGACACTCCACTTGTGACAACCTTGCCCAACACAAGTTGGATGAGTATCGGCGGAGGTTTGAGCGACTTTGGGAAGGAGAGGTAACTTCTATACTCCGATCTATTTATACCTTTTTGCCATTGAGACATGTATTTTTCCAATTCTAACTATCTTAATTTACTCATTTTGCGCGTGTAGATCATCTTCGATCCATACCCGGAGAACATCGTGCAATGGCATCTCCAGCAATTCCCCGAGCATATCGGCCAATGGTGCACGAGGGTCCCACTCATTTGTTTTGGGATTGTGGAGTGGCACTTGCCGGATCGATGCCTCCGTCAGTTTGGTCGGGAGCAGTGCATTCCATTGGCCGTCCCCGAAAGTCAAAAGGCCTTCCATGGTCGAGATGGGCGGCAAGGTACTCGAGATTGGCCCTTTAAGCATAGGGAATACATCGCCATGTGGGCGGAACGACAATCGCAAGATATTGTCACTCCATCAGCAGTGGGTCGAATGCGGTATCATGACCCGTACTTGGATCGCTATCGGCAAACATCGGTCCGTTACATGACTCCGGAGGGTGCTGCCGATGGTGCATTAGTAAGTATATTCGACTCTACATAATTAAATGTATTGTTTTTGTTCCTAAATTGTTTCATAACTTATTGTTTTGTGATTTAGACTGACGGGATTGAGCGGATTAAAGACATTACCACCGGGAGGTCGCAGCTGGGAAATGAAGATGTGAGCTTCATCAGGAAGATGGCAAACAGTCTTCTCGGATGTATCAGAGCTCAAGGGAGGGATCATCGTAGATATCCGCCCATGCCCGCACCCCCGCCACCTCCGGTACAAGTGGATGTCCCCGATCCCCCACCACCATACGAGAGGAAGCCAAGCAAGAGGGTTCGGGAAAGGCCCATCGAGCCCGAAGTCACGCCATATCCCGGGTGGAAAGTACCGCCTCCATTGGTTGTGCCCCAAGGTGTCGGCCCGAGATCCCCCCAAGTCGGCGGCCCGAGTTCTCCCCAAGTTGGCGGCCCGAGTTCACCCCAAGGCGCCGGCCAGAGTTCCAGCCAAACTGGCCACCAAGGCTCGTACTACGATCCTCGGGCGACATACCATCAAGGTGCTCCGAGTCCCACCCCGATCTCATACAACGATCCCCGTCAAGGATCGTACTACGAGTATCGCCCGATCTACCCCCCATCTCCCCGCCAAGGAGGTTACCACGATTACCGCCCGGTCTACCCACCATCTCCCCGCCAAGGAGGTTACTACGACTACCGCCCGGTCTACCCACCATCTCCCCGCCATACATCATCCGGTACTTGGCATGATGGTTCCTCCGCGACGGCACACCACGATTTTACGCCATGGGGTCGCCCTCCGACTACCCACCGAGCTTCCGTGGATGTCCCCCGCTCAACCCCGGAATTGCCGATTCCCCGCCGACATAGCACCGACGACCGCCAAACTACCTCCGCCCAAGTTCGAAACTTGCCACCGCCTCCACCGATTGTTACTCCCGTCGGTCGTCGTACAAGGAGCAAGAAGACCGTGGGATCGACCGAAGCTCGTGGACTTCCTTGAGCGGATTGATGAGAGTTGAATTTAATTTATATGTAATTTGAACTATTCCTATTATCTTAGTTTATTCGAATTGATTGTTGTTTCAATTTGGTCTTATTTTATCCCATTAGAACTATGCCTTTTATCTTTATGTAATCCCAATTAGTTCAATCAACAATACAGTGGAGATAAGTAATTTGATTTAAAATTATGGCTTCTAACCCAACTTCAAGTTAATACGAACAAGGCTGCATTTTTTCCTAAGTGTTGAGACAGTTTTGGGAAGGGTACTTTGGAAGGCCGTATCTCTCAAAACCCTTCACTGGAAATGCAAGGTTAGGGTCGCATTTTGAACCTTGGATGGGCGTTTATAGTTTTATGCATTTGGTTTGTTATTAATAAGGTTAGGAGGATTGTTTTCCAACGCCATCAAAACCCTACTCATGTACTATGGAATCTGCTTGTTTTTTGTCTAAGGCAGGAAAACAGTTTGAGGTACAAACTTTGAGCTCGAATTCAAGGAGTTTGTGGCATGACCAGCTGGAGCTCGGAGTTGGGAATGGAATGAAAAAAAATTAACAAAGCAAACTATGTCGCATTAGCTGAGTCTGGCACATCAGGACCCGCATTTTCCGGACCAATCGGGCCTGGACATCTTCGTTTATCATGTCCTGGAACTTTGCATATTGAACATCGTCTTGGGCCTCGTGGTGGTCTTCCACTTTGATCCATTTCGTTCTGAATTCTCTTTTTCCTCGGGCGTCCCGGCTCACGCCTCTGTCCGAACGGCGGGATGATCAATTTTCCTTCGTACATCGGCCAATAAACTTCATCAGGAAATGCACGGAAACTCCGTCCATATGTGTTTTTGAGTGAGTCGATATTGTAGAACGGACTAACGAAGTGACGTGGGTCTTTGCTCCTGTTTTTTATTACGGCCATTGCATGAGAACAAGGCCACCCTCTCCCTTGATACTTCTGGCAGGAGCACTCACCAACTTTTGTCCTGAAATTGACCACAACTTCATGGCGGTGGCCCCCCCGTCTACCGTCCTCCCGATGCCCGGTCGTCACGCTATACTCGCCATTTGCCCGATTCATAACGGTTACACTATGTCGACTGCTCTTGCGATTGTCATTCTCCATTACTTCCATGACTTTATAGGCATGGACCTTACCCTGTGCCTCGTTCGTTCTTGCCCAGTGGAGTCGGTTGACGAACCATGCATTCGTTTTCCAAAAAGTCATCTCGACAATGGCAGAGATTGGCAGTGCACGAACGGCCTTGTAGACAGAGTTGATACTCTCACCTGAGTTCGTTGTGGCAATACCCCATCTTGTCCCTCCATCTTTATGAAATGTCCACATGGATAGGTCATGTCCAGTGCACCACTGTGCCCCTTCAGGGCATAACTCGCGCAATTTCTGCATCTTCTCCAGATATTTTCTCTCTTGATAGGCAACCGCTGAGGAAGACACATAAAAGTATCAAAGTTAGTCAATTTTTGGCAATTTAGCACAAATTCGAACAACCCGAAAGTACTCTCGTTATACTCTTAGGAGAGGTATACATCTCCTTAGAAACACAGCCTGTTTGACAGAAAAAGGGGGGATCCGAAGATCGCTTAAAACCCGATTTTCCCAGGAAATGGGAGGATCATGATAATCGCTTAAAACCCCATTTCCTTAGGCATGCATCACTTTAGAAAGAGTCTAACCAGAGCACGTATCGCCAAAAGTACTAAGATATTGTAATTGGAACTAAATTATACATCTAATTACAAACTTACCAATCCACCACAAATTATCAGCAAGCTTCTTCCGCTTGAAATGATGGTTCCAGTTGCTCTTGAAGTGTCGTATGCACCACCTTTGGGACCACTTCCACGCTGGATCTAAACCTAAGATGGCAGCTCTGATGCCGGCGTGCCGATCAGAGATTATTGTAAGGTTCGTCCTCCTAGTACAATGGATCTGAATTTGCCGAAAGAACCATCCATAGCTATCAGCATTCTCTCCCTCGACGATGGCGAAGGCTAAAGGAAAGACTTGTCTGTTTGCATCCGCCCCACTGGCAATCAGGAGAGTGCCCTTGTACTTGCCGGTAAGGAATGTTCCATCCACTTGGATGACAGGGACACAGAAGCCAAAACCATCAATACATGGCTTGAATGCCCAGAAAAGTCGTCTGAAATGGCGCTTGTTACCTGGCTCTGGGGGTTGTATCTCTTCATCTTGGTATCGAGGGGAGAAAACCGTGCCAGGGTTAGACGCCTCCAATGCCAAAATTAACCTGGGAAGGAATGCATATGATTCTTCCCAATCACCAAAGACGGCGGCCAGAGCTTTCTGCTTTCCATGC